CGCGCAACAACGCAACGCGAGTCGAGAGCTTATTTTCGATCGATACCGGTTTCTTCTCGGATACGAATAGAAAATTTACAAATTAAATTCTCGCTCGAAAATTGTGAATGTAAATTTCGCATCGCGAATTGAAAATCGTTCCTCTCGGAATGAATTTTAAATTGAATCTCTTACATCTCTTCCTTCGTTCCGAGAGAGGCACGATTATCCAATAAATTTTCAACAAATTATTTCATTTTAGATATAGAAATTCATGCATACAGGCAATATTAATAAAGTTGCCGTTACTTTTCCATTAGCCGTCATTATAAATTCCATAGGATTTTACATCTACATATCCTATGTAATTGCTTTATAATAACCCCTCCCCCCCCCCATCCTCCCTCCCCTTTATCGTAAACTCTCTTCCTTCTCAACAACATTTAACAACCTTCCCTTGATATCTCTAATTCAATTTCGACGAATATCATTTTTAAGGTTAATCCTCGCGCCAACTTACAATCCATCAGCCGTTATACTAATTCCCCATAAATACAGCTTATCTCGGGCCACTGTCATTAATCGTCGGAACGAATCGAGAGAGAGAGAGAGACGAAATCGTAACCGGAACACGTGGTCGAACGTGGTCGATAAATCGGGCCGGGCTAAACAACTCGTCAAAATCGTGACGCATGACCCGCACGACATGACAGGCGTCGTGGGCATCGCGTGTCGCGCTCAGCCGCTCTAATACCATTCGGTTCCATGTATTATTCAATCAGCCAATAAGGAAAACACGCCACTCCGTGTGCCCGGCTCGTGATCCTCTCTCGTGTGTGCTCTCGTGTGCTTCGTGATACGCGTACAGGAGGAGTGGTGGGCCTCCTCCGGTTAAACGAACTTGCGATCGTGGAAAATTGTCCTCGACAGGGTCTGTCGAAGGTTAATCACTCGGATTGAGCGGTCGAACGTCGACAGACCCCGCAAAGAAACGCACGAGAGGGAATGTTAAAAGGCGTCTGTTCCAGGCTCTCGTTTCTCGACGTATTCTTTTTTTTTCTTGCAATCGTTGCTCGATCGATAAACGTTTAGTTTAATAAGAGAGTACGCGACGAAAAATCGTGCACGTGTAGTACGTTGGCTTTTGAGATCCTTGAAAGAGATCTGACCGAGGAGAGCGAAAGAAAATGACTTTTTTCTAATTATTCTCTATTATATATAGTTGCGTTTACTCGGATTGAGATATTTAGCAAATCGTATTCTTTTCACGTACAAAGAAATGAAGAAACTTTTCCCACGTTATCCAACTAAAATTTTCCAATTCTTCTTCTCCACCGTTGTTATCAGATCGTTCGATTCTTGTGTTTTATTTATTTATTTATCAAATTAATAGAAAGTTTCCACCGATTACTGCCGCCATCACCCTCGCGTCTCACTCGCACAATAAAATCCACCACTCATCAATCCCTCCCTCGAATTTACCCATTTACACATCGCCGTTTCCCCGGAACCATAAAGCACGGTGAATAAAGCGAATAAAGGGATAAAGGGAATAAGTCGAAAACGAGAGAAAAGGAAGAAAGAAGGGGAAAAGAGAAAAAAGAAGAGAGGAGGGGGAAAAAAAACTGCGTCGATAACGTCGTCAGCTCGCGACAGCTAATCCGGCGGCCGGTCTCGAACCGGCCATTACGACGTGCGCTGTCCATCGTTAAGAAGAAGTCGCGCCGTGAATGCTGCTCCCCTCCCCTCCCTCCGTAATAACGAGCTCCTTACATCCAGATTACACGTGCGCCACGGAACGTAGCGGCTTACAACGGCTATAAAGCAATAAAAGTCGATTTGCCCGGTGAACACAGGGCCGGGTGATATATCGCTGCTTAGCGCCCACGTAAACCAAGGAGCGCATCGACCGAGCAGCAGACGGGGAGGTTGCGTTTCTCCTTTCGTTCTTTCGTGCACGCGTCGCAGAGCGGTGTTGGCGGATGGCCAAGTCGGGCGCCGAATTATCGAATGATCGGGGCGGACGTTCGACAACGTTGGCCACGGCTCGCGCCGATATTCCGCCCGAGATTATCTCGCTCGTCAATCTCGCGACGGCCTTTCCGCCGACAAATTGATTCCCCGCTGATCACTCTGATCCCCCTCAGGCACGATCGCTTATTACGACGGGGTAAATACGTAATTGGCCGAGGAATGGCGAAGAATGATGAGAGAGAGGGGGAGAGAGAGAGAGAGAGAGAGAGAGAGAACTACGGC